TAATGGCTGTATTTTTTTACTGTAATTTTGACTTTAGGAATCATCTTTATTATTTCTGACATCAGCCACCCAACAGCATGCTCTCTTCTGATTTTGATGATTCATTGTGTGATGCTCAAAATACCCAGAATCTCCATACCTGCAATAACAATTTCATTATAGCAGAGAAAGATGTAAACAAAAGGATACATGGGCAGGTCTGGGAGGGCTTCCAGCAAAGGAACCTGCTTACCTTCCCAGTACAGGTGTTTACTCTGAATGCTCCATGGTGTCTCTCTGGGGCAGAAATTCCTTCTACCTCTGGAACTCATGGGATTGCTATGTCCCCTGTGGGTGCAGCTCTTCATCTCTGCTCTACTCCACTCTCCAGGTCTAGTTGTTGTCACTGCCACTTCTGGCATGTTTACTGCTACTGTCTTTTGCTGTAAGTGTGTTTCATCTTTGTTATCCGGGTCTGGATCCCTCAGTGCAGAAAGATGATTTACAATTTTGGAAACTCTACATAGAGTCGCTGTGAGTTGGAATCAACTTGAAGGCATTAGGTTTATTATATTTTGGTTTTATAAGAGTTTTGCATTTTCTAGAATGTTATATAGTTGAAATCATAGTAGCTATTTGGACTAGCTTTTTTCTCTTAGCTTGATAGTTCATTTCTTTTTACTGCTAACTAACAACTCCACGGTATGGACATACCAGATTTTATCTGATACATGCATTACAGTCAATAAATTTGCTTCTTTTTGCTTTTTCTGAATCCCACAAATTTTATTGTTTTATTTTCTTTTTCATTTAGTTCAAGATATTTTTCAATTTTCTTGAGACTTCTTAGACCCATGTGTTTGTTGTTATTCACCTTACATTTTGAGATTTCTTAGCTATATTTCTGTTACTGATATTTGGTCTCAGAATATACTTTGTGGTCTTAGAATATATTTTGTATGATTTCTGTTTTTCAGGTTGCTAGGGTATGTTTTATGGCCCAGGAAGCCATCTGTTTTGGTGGATGTTCCATGTGAGCTTGAAAATAATGTGTATTTTGCTGTTAGTGGCTGTATTCTATAAATGTCAGTTAGATCCCAGTAATTGATGGTGCTGTACATTGGTTTCTGATTTTCTACATGGTAGATTTTTCAATTACTAACGGATATTTCAATTATTAAAAGAGGGGTACTGACATCTCCCATTATAATAATGGATTTGCCTGTTTCTCTTTGCATTTCTATATGATTTTGCCTCACTGATTCAGATGCTGTGTTTAAAAAGGCACATTCACATAAGTATTCTTATTATGTCTTCTTGGAGTTGTTGTTGTTAAGTGCCAATGAGAATATCAGAAAGATGTTTACCT